GTAATTCTCCTTCTCACTCTAGACATCCAATGAAACATTTTTCATATTATTAAAGTCTGAAATCTAAGTGAAAGGCTTTGCTAATCAATGAAGAGTATCAACTCAGCTTCTAGATTAATCATTGGAAATTGGTAGAACCTGAATTTATAGATCTAACTTTCTAAATGGCATCCATGAGTAAAACCTGAGCTTGACTAAGTATTTTTTTAATGATATTTATTTTTATTTTACATGCATTGGTGTTTTGCCTGCATGTGTGTCTATGTGAGGGTGTCAGATCTGGAACTGGACCTCCAGAGAGTTGTAAGCTCCCATATAAGTGGTAGGAATTAAACCTGGGTCCTCTGGAAGAATAGCCATTCCTCTTAACCACTAAGCCATCTCTCCAGCCTCCTTGACTAAGCATCCTTTGCCGACTAAAGTTCATATTGTCTTCTGGGCAAATGCAATCTCCGTGTGTGTAATTACTAACATTGTGGGGGGTCTTGCCCTACTATACATAAACATCTTAATTATCTTCTGAATTTCACTAAAATCAAGATTCTATGAGATTCAAACTGTGTCTCTGGATTAAGCACATTTACAAAGCAACAATTGCCTTTAAGAAAAAACAACTTTTCTCCCAAAAGAAAATCCCAAGTAGAATCAGAGTCTTCATAAGCTACCATCTGACTGTAATTAGACAGTTCAAGTTGAGTTCTTATGACATTGTTTATGTGCCTACCTGCTCTTGATGCCAACAGGCATGAAAGGAGGGGTATGGGTGGTACACTGGCACAGCCTCTACTTTGTTGTGCTCTCCCCACCCCCACCATCTATCTTCTGGCTCTTTCCTGAATGAACAGTATGCCCACAATTTTAAAATCCCATATGAGTGCATGCCCTCAGTTCTTTGTCCTTCCAGCTGACTTGGGGAGACTACAGAGTAAGCCTCACATCCTTTAGTTTGCCACATGCTTCCTTCCTATCCCCACTACTCAGGAATGCCCAGCCTCCCACACTCCCCAAAGTTCTGCTGCTTCTCAGCACTTCTGTGCCTGAGTTCCTGACCTTCAACACCTTGGACCCTGGGGAGGTGGTTGCTGTTGTTATTGCTGTTGTACATTAAAGACATGTGTTTGGAGCACGTTCAAGTTTTTCCCAATTCATAATTTTGAATAAGGCAAAATCTAAAATGTAAATAGCATTCATTCTCATCTTATCACATCCTTATCTAACACTTCATGAGAATCGCGTCAGCATGTTCATTACCAAGACCATTTGTACAAAGCCAGAACTAAGTTGAAGCTGGCTCTGGTATTTTTTACACCTGGATAAAGGAAAGATTTTTTTTTTAATCTTAACATTGTAAGACAGACAAGAAGAAAAACATACACGATCTATGAATGTATGACTCTTCTAGTGCACTCAGCTTTTTGTCCATGTTCCCTTCCTTCATGTGAGCAGTGGTCACTTGGCTAGGGTATGTCAGGGTTGAACTGAATGCCACACAAAAGTGCACAATTATTGAATGGGTTTACCTCACCTCTAAAGTGCTTCTATTCCTGAATTCTAAAAAAATTCTGAGTCGCTTGGAGGTGCTTTCCAGACAATGCAAAAACATTTAGTCCTAAGAGGGACCTGACTGTCTTCAGACTCTTCCAGTGTGTTATATTTGGATCTGTGGTTGCGATGCAAGTGGTATTAACAAGAATAATAATAGTATTTAGCAATACATTTTTAAGTGGCAGGCACCATCTCAGGTTCTTTGCACGTAATTAATTGTTTACTCCTCAAACTGCCCCTCTCTAGAGCAGATACTAAAATAATCCCGCCAACAAAAGAAAAATCTGAGGTCAAATGGAACTAGGCAATTTTCCCAAATTCACAGAGATAAAATTACATAGAAATATGCCCTTCTAAAAAGCTAACATCAAATATGAGCAGATCGTTGTCATTGCATTTTGCATATTGAGTTTTTCATTAGGTCTCTGCCTGTCAGATTGATACAGGAGCTGGATCATAGCAATACTAATGTTACAGTGAACATGGAAACTGCTTAAATTTGCATCGCTTTAAAAGCTCACTCCTAACTAAGAAAAAAAAATGAAATACTTGACATTTTGGTATCTGTGGTATTAAAAAAGAACTAATATTTAATATTCAAGTGGCAACAGCTTGTAGAGTTTGCATACAACACCCACAGGGATCGATTCTTCTTTAGAATGGCCTTTAGGAGTCGGCTTTTCAACAGCTGACACCTCCATTCTCTGCAGCCCTCTCTACTGCCAGCACCATGGGGCACACACAGAGCAGAGCAGCAGACGTGTAATTCTTCACTGCAGGATTTGTCTTTGCAAATAATGGTGGATGTGGGAAATTAAGAAAAATGTAATTTTCACTGAATCAACCTCAGTGTAATCTGTATTTCTAAAAATGAAAAAGTGTCTCCAGAGAGCTTTTCTCCACATGCTCTCTCAGTCCCTTCACTGCTCCTACCAACAAGAGAAGGAAGAAACATCCCTAGCTAACCCATCTTAGGTCATACCACACCTGTGCTGAGGCAGAAGCCTGATGAGTGTATTGTGGCCTGGCATTACTCCAACTTGACTAATAGTCACAGTGCAAACTCTGTCACCTGTGAAACTTTCAACTTCCCCAGCCTGCTGTCAGGAAGATGCATAATAATCGAATAAAGGTTTAAAGATGCTGAACATGATGGAATATTTCACCTCCCTCCTAATAGGATGCTTTCAGTACCATGTTAAATGTCTATAATTACTCACGGCTGCAGTGAAAAAACAACTCAAAGTTAAAACCCTTGTCAGTTATGTACATTGGTGTGATAGGATAGTAGGAATCAAGAAGAAACCAACACACTGGACTGATTACTAATGGTGTTTATCTGCATGGTTTATAGAAGATGCCCTCGCCCAGTAACCATTGGTTCTCATCACAAAGTTCTTGGAGTTATTGGTGCATTATTCAAGAAAATATTCAAATAGTAAGATAAATGTGTCATCTTTTGGATTCATTGGCTTCCATTTTTCAAGGAATGTAGGTCAGATATGGTGGGGCAGGGCTATAATGCCAGCATTCTTTGGAGGCCAAAGCAGGAGGAGCTTATTGGAATGAGATGTGGCATGTATGACTTTAATTACATAAGCCATTGAATCAAACTGGACATCTTTGCCAAGAGTTCGGCTCCAGGACTTTTTAAATAATAGGTTGTGTTCTTGAAAATTAATATTTGCTATGGAAAATAATTGCCCACATTGTTTAATAGCTGACTTTTCTGAAAAAAAAAAATCACACAGTCAGTAGTCCTTGCTATGTTACTGGAATATGCTTAATGCATTTGTAAAATAAGAAACTATTTGAACAATTTGATTGCTGACAATACAAATGAAATTTGAAGATACAATTCAAGGATTACCTAAGGAAATTGGAATATTACTTACCTCTTACAAGTTTAATTTGTATGATCTGGGAAATGGTCTATCATAGCCATTCTTTTAGTTTCAAATGAGTGAATTCACTAAGTCTATCATAAGAAGAAGTACAGTGATAAATAGTAAGTACCTGATAGGTAGAAACAGCAGATAGACGTCATCAAACCAGGAACTCGAAGCCTTCAGCACGATGACTAGGGTAGCCTGACAGAGAACAAACAAAAGACCATCAAATCAGGGTTTATCAAATCCAGAAAACAAATTGACTGAAGACATTGCCGAAGTCAGCTGAGTTCCCAGTTGAGTTTTCTTTCCATGGATGAGCATTCAACATGCAACTCCCTGTTTCCACTGAAGGCATTTTCCTGGCATGGGACAGACAAATATCACCTCAGGTGGAAGTGGCTCACCTTTTAGCTGTCCTTTAAGACACAGTGTATTTTACTCTTGGGCTGCTTTTCTGGTCTCTTTCCTCCCTGTCACAGAGTTATGGGAGCAATCTATCCCCAAACAAGGGATCTTCAGTAACATTATGAGACAACTAAATTTCTAAAGTCAGTTTCTCAGTGAGCTCAAACAGCACAAGAATATTGACCAACATAAAGTACATTATAGGGCTCTTAAATATAAATTCTATATAATTTTTCATAGTATAAATAGGTCTCACGGTACAGCAGGCTGCAGAGGAACAGGGGAGGTGCCTGGTCAAGTTTGCAAAGTTTTTGGATTAAATACAAGCTTACTAACACCATTACAAAAAAAAGAAAGAAATACATATATATGGATGGATAAATAGATAGACAGATTGATCCATAGATCACTCCAGAAACTTCCCTCTGCAAAGTACATTTTTGAAGCAAAGGCATATGGTATTTTCCAACCTTATTTGACCCGGCTGATCCATCAGAGCATATCTCCTCAGCCAAGAGTCTGCAGAGCATGTTCTGCCTCCCCTCATGCCTGGCACATCACAGGTGCTCAGTCTATTCCAGTGCAACTTCAAAACGATCCACTTTCAGTTGAATTGAAATTGTCTGTGGTATTCTTTGCCTTGGACTTGCTCATGGAGATAAATATGCAAATAGAATCAGAAAAACAAACGAGTCATTTCTAACCAGATCTCAGCCCACATATTCCAAAGCAAACGAGTAGTGAAATGATCCATCGTGATACGTTGAACTCTAGCAAAGCTATTACTTAAAGTCGGATTTGTGTGAGATATAAAAGGAAAACCAGAAAGAGCATTTCCTGCTGGGCTTGTGCCTCCCATACTGCATATCCCATTCTGCATACCTAAAAGACTGTTTTCCTCATTTCAAAATTGATAGCCAAATTTATTGTTATTTTGCTATTCAAATCTCTGTGCTCTTTTTCCTGCCTATTTGCTCTAACACTGAATCTTAAGCATCTCTAAAACTGCTTGATACGTTCTTATTCTTTCCAGATACCTCCTGAGAGCCAAGCAAAGAACACTAAGGACGAGAAGAGAAGGAATGAGCCTGGATCCAGTGCAGTAAAGAGGCTCTGTAAGGAAAGGGAAATTCACTGTCCAGAGACTCGGGTGCCTGCCTTGCCACCAGCATGAGAACTTATCCGTACATCTTGATGCTCTTTTGGGTCAACCAATCCTACCCAACTTTCTCAAGCCCGTTATCTAAAAGGACTAGTGGTTTCCCAGCAAAGAGGAGGGCCCTGGAGCTCTCTGCAAACAGCAGGAGTGAGCTGAGCCGTTCGAAAAGGAGTTGGATGTGGAATCAGTTCTTCCTCCTGGAGGAATACACAGGATCCGATTATCAGTACGTGGGCAAGGTAGGATTCCTTTGGGTACTTTGACAGTCTAGACTTAAAAGCCTCAAGAAGTTACTGCTAAGAAACAGACAGGGAGGGTGTAAACTACTCCCCAATACAGTATGAATTGTTGTTTATCTGGTGAGACTTTTTCTCTCCTCGCTTGAGTAGTTGCTGGATGAAAGTGTAGCAAGATGCTGAGAAATATTAGCAGCGCAAAAGAGAGCGAAAGCTCTGGTGGAAAACGAACCGCCCACAACCATCCACCGGAGGATTATCATAAATCCTTTAATTTTTTTTACTTTAGCTGGAAAAATGGGGTCCAACTAGTCTGTAAAGTAGGACCTATTAAAACTAGAAATGGAACAATTTTGCTGTGAGGAAAGCAAGTCCTTTTTCTCAATTTGAAAGCAAACATTCTGAGACTGAGTCACTTTAACTGTTTCTTAACTCTGCTTCTGCCTGCACCCATAACTCTCAGAACAAAAGTTGCCTTTTCTTGGCCAAATTTAGCCCCAGAAGTTAGGTATAGCCGTTACTGTTGCTTCAAGTGGGAGTGGTTAGTTTTATACCAGATAACTGGCCAGAACCAAGCATCTCAAATTCTTAGGACATAACTATAACAAGGTTGATGAAAGATGCATGTTATACAAAGGTGCTATTTCTAGGTTACAACGACTGACCATTTTATTGACTAGAAAGGAGAGGGATGAGTGAGGCTCTGGACTCATTTGGCGAGGCAGAATCCTTCAGCTGTCCTGATAAGTGGTATCTACTCACATCAAAAGCTATCTTGCTGTAGAAAATTTGACCTAGGCAAAGATGTAAAAGACAAGCCAGGGTATCCAGTACATAGCTTGCAGATTCTGCATCTCATTGGGTGGTATGGGTAAGAAAATAATTCTCACACATCTCTTAAACTGAGAATGAACATAAAAAATACAGATGATAAAATGCCCTTGCCTATGATTGATTTTAAAACACCTTCATCAGGACAGCATGCAAACAGCATAAATTTTGCAGATTCCTAAGGCTGCATGTTCACATTTCAGTCTGTGATCAAATACCCCTGAATAACTCTGTGCAAATATTCTCCTTAAGTATTTACCACTATAAACGAAGGAGGTTTGGGTTGAGGTAGCCAGGCAATGTTCCAGTGCTGTGAATTATTAATGTGGAATAAAGTAAGAGAGGAAAAAAGTATCCAGAGACATGGTGAACAGCAACACTGATGCCCCAAGGATCTTGTCACCAATTTGCTTTGCAACTCACCTGCTGGGACCACTAAAGAAAGAATCTTTCCTGCTTATATTTCATTTCCTCTGTGCCACTTGATGCCACTGTGTTAATAGAGTAATAGTTTTTATTTTAATCTTTAAAGTACTTTAACAATGCAAAGAGCATTATTACCATAGAAGATTAAGCTTTAAAAAGCACTTTGTCAAAAATGATTGAAATCCCCTCCCCCACTTTTTTTTCCTTCTCAAATTGTGATACCATCTTATTTCAATAATAACACAGATTCTTGAAGTCCAAGATGGTAGCAGAAGCAATGGGTAAAAATGCACAAGAATGGGTTTCATGATTATAATTGTGATGGGGAAAATAGTCACAGAGGAAAGTTGCAAGCTATGGATGTACAGGTCCAAAACTTCATCACTAAGCTGCCAGTTGCCAGGACTGTGAGTGGCTAAACAAGCCTTCCAGGCTTTGGTTTCTTCACCTGGGAAGTGCAGGCAGCTGTATCCCCAGCTAGAGTTGCAGGGGAACACCAGGAAGATGAGCACCATTGGCCAATACACAGTGTGTGCTTGAAGTCTCTAAACGTTGAGAACTTCATTGCACATGCCCCACTAAGTCTGTGTATAATGAAGTGAAGTTGAATGTTGAGCTCTCTGACACTGCAAAAGCAAAATAAGGTAATTAGCAAATCTCAGTGGCTGAAAAATGTGGTGATTAATGGTGAAATCCCTTCACTATCATAGCTTTCCCCACACTCATTGAATCTGGATAGTCAATTGGCAGCAAGACACCATTGCCCTCCTTACTCCTCACTGTCTTCTGCCATTTTCTGCTGCCCTTCCTCCTCTTTAAATCATAACAACTCAAGGGGATATTAACTAGAGAAGGAAAATATCAAAAGCAAGAACTGACATTGTCCTTCCACCCAGGGCTGCTGCCAGGGAAGAAGAGTCCTTCTCAGACTGCTGACATGGCTATTTTCCAGATCTGTCTCTGCAGTAATGTGATACCAACAGACAAATTGGTCTCTATTCTAATTAAAAGTAGAAGAAAATAAGAACAGATTTTACAAAAAGAAAGAGGAAAAGCAGAAGAGGTAGCTTATTAGTAGAATGCTTGCCTAAACATGCCAAGGCCCCATGTTCTATCCTCCAACCTTTCCCCCCCCCCCAAAAAAAAAAGCAAAAGAAAGGGAGAAACTACAGCATTACAACACATAGGACAACTTTTAACTTCAACTAACTAGGAAGAAAAGACAACTGATGAGACTATCCCAGACTAATTGTGTCTGGAAACCTTAGAGAAAAAAAAAACACGGGACTAAAGCAGAGATTCCAAAGTTCTCTCAGGTCACAGGGCTGTTTCTCAGGCTGGCCTTGGGCAGAAACAAATATCTAATGGTGTCATGTAGTAAACAGACCAAAACAACTCAATAAGAATTCATTTTCTAACAGTTCAATAACCCTTTGAAAAGATAATATATCTAAGTTAACAAAAACTAATATTTTTATTTTATTCCTAATCACAGTCACTTACATGGTGTTGAACACCTTCTCAAACAGATTGGATTTCACTCCCTACCTGCCCTTTTTTACCATGACATTTACACTATAAATGCCATTAACAGGAATCTGGGTACTCAGTATGACATCATCAAAAGGAATATAGTGCCACCCTCTGTAAAATCCATGAACTACCTTTAGCTAATAATGGCAAATTGGTGGACAGAAGTCAGAGTTGCTATGTGGCTTTGACATTTTACCTTCTCTCCTTCTGAGTACCCTGTAGCAACCAGGCAGCCTTGTTGAGAGTTCTGGGAGCCATAGACTGTAGTTAAGTTGTGTGAACCTACACAAAGGCTGTAAGTCATCAGTGCTGCAAACAGTAATTACTCAGAGCCTAGCATAGTTTTGCCTAAAACTAAAGAAATGGAGCCAGTCTGCACCGGGAAGGGCAGAAACACTCACTGAAGAAAAGTCATGGACTTGAACAAACACCATTTAAGTTGAAGGAAAACACTTCGCCTTGTAGACATCTGATTGCATTTGTGTTGATCTATTCAAAGGGAGTCAAAGGTGCAGTGGAGAAGGATTGAAAACATGAGGCTAGCAAGGAAAGAGACCAAGGCTAGGGCAGTAATGAAGGGAACTGTGAGATCCATACTGGGAAACAAGGAACAGAGGTGACATTTGTCCTCTTGTCCTCATGTTCCTCAGCCTTCTGCTGTATTCTATGAAATGAACATAAACACAAGTACAAGGCAGAAATGGAATGCGCTTATGGAAAAAAACCTAAAATTGTGGTGGCAGCTAGAGCTAACTGGATATGAAGAGTCCCAGGTATGGTAATAGTGTGAGAGATTAAGATAGAAACCTGTATCCAGGTATAAGTGAGACTATTGGTTTAGGGGAGCAATCTTGGGATGCTTCAGCAAAGTAGTATCCATCAGACCTCCTTGGAAAGGCACATTCTCAGGCTCTACCTAATTGTCACTGAATCGGAGTCCCTGGGTGAGCAGTTTGCAGATTAAAAGTTTGAGTACTGCTACTTTTAAAGATGCTTTGCCCAGGTCTCTATTCCCTGGAGAGTCTGAATTAGTTGGCTTATAATTACGTACTAATGATCCTGACATGTTGTCAATTTTCAGAACCACAGCCCTAGGGGATACAACTGTCAGTCATGATAACAACATTGTCCAGCTCAGTGGCAAAGGGACACCCACAAAGAGTTATGAAAAAATAAAGGAGTGAGGGTGGCCAGGCTTTGAGGTTTGGCAAAGCCCTCTAGAGAAGGTGAAAGTGGACCCCATTGTCAAGACAAATCGAGGGTTAGTGCTCAGTGCAGAGGGCCCTCCCAGGTAATTGCCAGCAGATATGAAAAGGGCAAAAATCTGAAGTCCAAAGAGTCCAAACGTTAGAGAGTCGACAACCAAGCACATGAAGAGGCACTGATGACCCAGGAAACACAGAATACGTGGTTTTTATTAGAGGGTGAAGGGAGAGTGTTTGACTTTACTCTGCATCCACTCGTGTGATCTCTGGCTTATGTTAACTTAATAGAAAATCTGGAAGAAGGCGTATCGATTCTTCTTTCCCAGAAATCCCCACACCCCCTGGGCCAGCTTCACAGAATCTAGCATTTCTTTCTCCGCATCCATTTGAGAGTGTTTCATACCCAGGTAGCAGTAGTCAGGGCCAGATTTTGAAGATGGAGGCATTCACTAGTCAAAGATGAATGTTGAGTGTGTGAGGGGTGGGGGGTTGCTTTCTTTTTGAGGGGTGGGGGTTGCTTTGTTTTGTTCTTTATCTCCAAATTTGCCCCCGTTCTACAAAAGTTTCACATATATTCTACACAGCCCATGGCAAATCTCATCCACTTGATGAGCTATTCTTTATAGAAAATTGATAGGCTAGAAAATTGATAGGCTATTCTTTAGCCCCCCCCCCACACACACACAACATCCACAACAAATAGACTGCTAGAAGTATCTGAAGTATGGTTCCTTTTAATAACATGCCAGGAGGTATGCATTTGTGAAATTTAGTGCACCATGTACATTTAGAAGTATTTTCTGTTACCTTTGAGGAAATTAGTGAATTTTCTTGGTGGAGGGAGGGAAAAGAGTTCCCAATAACTGATCTGCTGTGTATATTAATATCATGAAGTTTTAGGTTCTATTTGAGGCCTTAATGGTCCTGATAGAGCTGTCTCTTGAGTCTTTAAAATTAATGTCTACCCAATTCAAGAAGCCATTCTTCTCCTGGTAATTAGACAGTAAT